ATTCTGAACTCACGTTTTTTCATCAATCCTTTCACCTAGGCGTGTCTGGAGCCCCAGTATGTCCAAGGCAGATCTCTGTCCACACAGCTGCTGTTTGAGGCTGCCCAATAGTGTCTGCAGATTCCCTAGGCTTTTTCCCAGAATGCTGTGTGCAATGAGCATCTCATGATGCTGCTACAATTTCCTTCCTGGAATCTTCTCTGTGACTTTACTTCCACAACTTTAATAGGCACCATCCCAGCAGGGGGCCCAATTCTGTAGCATTAGCTTTGCCTGCCCTCTCAGAGCTTCCAGTCAGATCTTTAAGGAAGCTGCCTGACTTCTGCATGCTGCTCACCATCACATGGACAGTGCCAAAGTTAGCCACCAGCAAGAGCCAGGCAAGTGACGACTTACTTAAACCAGCACTGATGCAACTTGAGAGCCCTTGGCTAGCAAGCCGGACCCTAGAGCTGGCACTGGGATCTCATGACTCCTTCCAGTCTCTGGGCCTATGATGGGAGGAACAGCTTTTTGTGTTTTTCTCCCACTGGTTTGCTGATTCATGCATGGTTCCTTTTTACCCACACTAATCCCCTTAGCAATTGATCGTTCACTCTGAGTTCAGCCTTCCACCGAGACTCAGGACAGCGACACTCAGAGTCAGTTCATTTGCCATGGTCTCAGGCAGTCTTTAGTCTCATTCCTGATAGTCTTCATTTTCTATCTGAGATCACCTCAACAAGATGATTGCTGTCCATGTTCCAATCCTCATTCTGGCCTAAGCCCTCACCACAATTTCCCACAATGCTATGCTTACAGCTTTTATAGATTGCTCAGCTTTCTCCATCCTGTTCCTCTTAAGTCTCCCTACCTCTGCCAGTTAATTACTCACACTTTTTCAGTAATTGTCCCCTTCCTTGGAGCTCTTTTTCTGTATTAGTCAGCTTTTCACTACCATAATCTAATACTTAAGTCAAGCTACTTATGACGGAAGAAGGCTTATTTTGACTGGATCAGAAATGGAGTGGTTGAAAGTTAAAAAAGTACCCATAAGAGGTGTTGGTATTTCAACATTTCTCTGGTAAGATTTATTTATTTTTATTGGAAAGCCAGATGTACAGAGAGAAGGAGATACAGAGAGAAAGATCTTCCATCCGTTGGCTCACTGCTGGTTCTCCCACATGGATGCAGGGTCCCAAAGCTTTGGGCCATCCTCTACCACTTTCCCAGGCTACAAGCAGGGAGCAGGATAGGAAATGGAGCAGCCAGAATATGAACCAGTGCCCATATGGGATTCCAATACGTGCAAGGTGGGGAGTTAACTACTAGGCTATCACACTGGGTATGGTATTTCAACATTTTAATTTTTTAAAATTTTTGGTGTGTGTAGGGGGATACCATTCAATCCATAAGACTTACTAATAAATTATAAACAGGGTTCCATATAAATAGGGATTAAGCCACCACTTTCAGCACCAACATTCTAACTCAGGGTGCTGGTTTGAGAGTTGGCTGCACCTCTTCTGACTCAGCTCCCTACCATAGTGCCTGGGAAAGCAGTGGAATATGGCCAAACTGTTGAAATCTTGCCACCCAGATAGGCAGCCCAGATAGAATTCAGGGCTCCGGCTTTGGGCTGTCCTAGCCCTGGCTATTGCAGGCACTGGGCTGTGAAACAGGAGATGGAAGATCTCTTTTTATCTCTGTCTTTCCCTCTGTCATTCTGCCTTTCAAATAAATATTTCTAAAGGTAATAATAAATAAATTATAAACAAACCCTAGCAATAAATCAACAATTCCAGGTGCAGATTAGCATTGTTTCTGATTAAATAAAACCTAGACTTGGGTTGGTATTTATCAACTTTTCTATTCATTTAGTATTTATTGAATTCCTACTATCGTCCAGATATTTTCTAGCATAATGGTCTCCTTAAAGTTGGATAAGAACAATGTATTTCTTTATTTTCATTAGCCTTTTAGTAAGCTAATGTATTGACAACAATCCATGCTTTATTATCAGGAGCTGTAACTATTCAAAGTTTTTATATCTATTTGAAAGGCAGAGTTACACAGAGAGGAGAGATTGGGAAGAGATTTCTGCCATCTGCTGGTTCACTCCCCAATAGGCCGTAATGGCTGGAACTGAGCTGATCTGAAACCAAGAGCCAGGAGCTTCTTCTGGGTCTCTCATATGGGAGTTGGGGCTCAAGGACTGGAGTCATCCTTCATTGTTTTCTTTCCCAGGACATAAGCAGGAAGCTGGATAGGAAATGAAGCAGCTGGAATTCAAACTGGAAATTATATGGTATGCCTCTGCTATACATGGAGGCTTAGCCTACTATGTCAAAACACCAGCCCCAGTCCTGTAACTATTAAACAGATTTTTCCAAATTAGATGTCATAGATCTAGGATTTGTCATATTCACTGCCTTGAGACTGATTTCAGTCTCCACTAAGGAGTTCAAATAAAATAAAAAGGGACAATGTGTCCATGGATAGATAGATACAAATATTACCATATCGAAAGAATTTGTATAACTGTATGTAATCATTTTGAGTGATGGCTTATTGTATAGAATTCTAAGGAGAATTTGGATAATTTCAATATAATCAACTCGGTTTTGTAAAGTATACATTTTCTTGCATTTATTTTTAAAATGGGAATCATCGATAGTATTTACTAAATTCCCAGCATGTTCATCCAGCTGATAGTAGTAAAGAACTAAATCAAATTCCGTGTGCCTTGGAATTGACGTTGGGAGATGAAGGCAGAGGGAGGTGATAGAGACATAACAAAAGACCCATCAGTAGAATATCAGGTAGTCATAAAGATTGCATTTATGTTTCTCTCTCTCTCTCTCTCTCACACACACACACACACGAAATATGGAAAAAAAAAACCAACCAAAGACCAAACTGGGAGCAGTCAGTGACAGTAAACAGCCAGACATGGAGTAGATAGGGCATGGAGCCCTAGCAAAGAGAACTTATCAGTTGAAAATCTGAGGTGGGGCAAAATTGGAACAGTCACAAAACACAGAAAGGCAGTTTGAGGAGTCATGTTTGTGGGGAGTCGGGGAGGAGATGATGGAGCTGGCAGGTCATTTTTAAGAGAAGAGTAAATGTAAGGAAAAACATTTCAAATACAGCGAGTAGTTTGGGGAGATGGTTAGTTTTAATTTTCTTCCAGCTACAAGTGGGTCCATTGGATTTTTCTAAATTGTGGCAAATACAATGCCACTATGAACATAAATGGCAGAATGTTAAATCTGTAACTACTATACTACTGTAATAATGAGAGAGATTGTGTCGGGGGAGATGAGGAGGGAGAAATAGGAGATACGGGGGGAAATCTCGTTACCTACAAAACTGTGTCATGGAAAATAATAAAAATAATTGAAAAATAAATGGCAAGGCACACATGTTTGCCACTATGATGATTTTAGATGTATATTTAATGGCATTAAGTACATTTACATTATAATGTTGCTGTAAATTTCATCCATTCACAAAACCCTCTTAATTCTGAGAAATCGAAGTTTTGAGAGCATTGAAACCATTAACTCCCCATTCTAGCCTCTACCCCAGCATTGGAAATTTTTAAGAGCAAGACAGTGACAGATGTATTCTACATTTAAGAAACATGACTCCATTAAAAAATACGGAGGTGCTGTTGCTAGGCAGGAATAGAAACACTAATAGGAAACCATTCAGGAAGTGTTACAGGTGGGAGATGATAAGGGAGATATTTGAAATGGCTTTTGGCAATATGTCAGACAGGATTGCAAGATGAAGTTCAACAGGTAGGGAGCAGAATGTGGATTTCTCCTCGGACATTGTGTCTGACATCTAAGTGATGTCAGTTTGATGTGCCTCCAAGTCCAGAGCTCAGCCAGAGCTCAGCATGCATTTGAGTGGGCATGTGGGTAGTACCTGAAGTCATGGCACTGGATGAGATAAGATAAAGAAGAGATCAGGAATAATCCTTGGGGGGCATTTTCATCTTTACAGGTCATATTGAGAAGGAAAGGATTCTTTCATGGCTTTTGCCAGTCTTTCTTTTTGAGAGATGCTGCAGAAATTTGGATCTGAGTTCCAACAAAGAGGCAAAGCTACTGAGTTGAAGTCCTACCCAGACTGATTTTCAACAAGTCACACTAAATCTGCCCTGAGAGAGGGACAATTCTCCCTGCTAATGTATGTCTTCCTCTATAATATCTAAGATGAGTCTGAGATGAGGGAGACTTGAGGGGATAAAGAGAAATTGTCATTTGGAAATGCCCAACATTTCTTGCATTTAGAAACACACAGATCATATCAATGCAATTAAGAAAAGAGGGGACATACTCCATTACAGGTAAACTTTGTCTTTTATTTTCCTTTAAGCTAACAATGTCAAACACACATTGTAATTTTCTCTGTCACAAGATATAGCAGTATGTATAACATAGGTCAACAACTATTTCATCATGTAAAGCTTAAGATGTGGTTCCTTAAACATGTTTGAAAATTTACGTCATTTTTCTGTGTATGTATGTTTTTTGGTTCAAGTAAAAAATATCTAAACGATTTTACTTTGAGTGATCTTTTAAATCCAATAGTTCATTATCTCCAAATGTGTTCTTTGAAAATTAATTTTATGATATAGGTTAGAACATTAATTGAGAAAGTCATACTGTTCTTTTTTTTCTTGGTCACCAGAGCCTGCACTTTTGGGTAGGATTCTCATTAATGAATTATGCAGATGTCCAGTGTCACTTCACTTGATTCTCGGTGCTTCAGACGCCAAGGATTTGCTCATTATTTAGAAATGTCTCACTCCTTTGTTCAAGAAAAGCAATCCGGTTTTGCAATGTTCCTCTTTGCTGTACGCAAACATTTGGGAAATGGAAATGGGGAAGTGTAGCTTCTTAGAAAAACTATAGATGAATGGAACAGGAACAGCAAAATTAGCAGAATATAACAGGAACTGTTGATCTTGTACATTATTGCTGTTGCTTATTTTTTCTCCTTGCTAGGAGACCTGTTATGATGATGTGTGTGGTACTCACCACACTTCCCTGCTTCATCTTTTCTATAGCAGTGACCGAGGTATGATGTTTTCATTTCTTCTGCTATAAGATTTTTGAGATGTTCAAGTTTTCTGTTATCATAAGTTTTTTTCTTATGATTTCTTAAAATCAATTTAGTCCATTCTTCTTCCACATTGCAGTATACAAGAGTACTTCAAAAATGTGCAGAAAATATGTAATTAAAAAAATCGTTTGGGTGCAAAAGATCTTTGAAATCACTGTGTAATTTCTTCAAATACACATTTGCTACGAACATTTTCTGAAGGCCTTTCATATATTTAAAACACTGAGATCACTGATCTATATAGTTGGGAAAGTTTAGCAGCAGTTTTTGTTATTATTACTTTTGAGTGTGTGTATTAGATGGGATTTTCTTCCAAAATAATAAAAAGTGATAAATTTGAAAGTTGATGTATGTTCATTTCTTCTACCAACATGATGTTTTTCATAGTTGTCTTCAGTTCTAAATGGAAAACAACCGTTTAGATTTCAAATGCTTTTATGTCAATTGGCAAATAATTTGCACATGGTATTGTTTTTGGTAATAATATTGAACTTAGGTTTTGGCTCCATATGACTTCAAAAGAACTCAAATGGCTATTATGGACAGGAATAGTACAGGCAAAATTTCCAAGCTGTAAGAACTTTATCCATGAAGGTCAAGGAACAATGCCCTACTAATCTTATTAATTTGCAAGGTACTGTGAAAAACATAATTTTTGTTTCTCCAAAGTACGAAATTTAAGTTATTTTGTAATATTTCATTTGTGTGTTGAGCCACAAGCCAGGTTCTGTATTGGTACTATGTATAGAATGCTCAAGAAATATGACAGAATCTCTGACCTTCAATAATTATATACTATTGGGTAGGGGGGGAATAAGCAATATAAAAAAATTATCCTAACTGTTGAGGTGAGTACTATGTAATGTACGATATGAGAATTAACATGTTTGTTAATATATGTCCTAGTTTAGGGTAATTAGCGTAAAACATGAATGTGCAGGATATCTTTGCTAACTATAGGGTTGTAGTATGCATCAAACAAGCTATAATATTTCTACCCAGATACACAATTTTAAAACCTCCTCCCTCCCCAAAGACTTTATAAAACACTTGGGAGGTTTCCAGTAGCTTTAGAAATTCAGTTTACAACAATTCAAGGAACTCTAGAATCATAAAATGATGGTATATCTGGAATTTGATCACCTTTTTTGTTTTTTTCTATGATCTCATTCTTTGTTGCATGTCTTTCTTTCATTGCTTCTGTTTAATTTTTCAACCAAGTGTGGAACATCAAAGTGCCTAAAAGAGACAGAAATGTGCACTATCAATGGAAAGCCACAAAACAAACACTTGTTAAGCATTGCTCAGATTAAGATAGTAAACTTGGCAGTTCCACCCTCCCACACTGCTTGCAATGATTAATTTTCCATCCTTCCCAAAGGTAACTTCTGTCTTGACTTCTAATACCACAGATTAGTTTGCTTGTTTTATAACTTTTCATCAGAAAAGATGATACATACATGTGATATATCATTTATATATGCCAGATATATTATTTATACCTGCTTTTATTCAAAAGTATGGTTGAGAGGATCTTCCGTGTTATGTTTAACTATATTAGTTCTACTCTGATGGCCATTTTAGCTGTCTCTAATTTGAGCTATTTTAAAGAAAACTCCCATGAGCATCCTTAAACATGTCTCTTGTTACACATATGCAAGCCTTCAGTTGGCTAAATACCCAGGAATGGAACCGATGAAGTCAAATCGTGAGCTGTAACAGATAATGCCAAGCCCTTTGCTAAGGAGCATGCTGATTTTGCAGTACAACATTTACTAGTTGAGAATGGGCATTCCTGTTGCTCTGTATATTCCCCAGCACTTAACTCTCTGAATGTTTTGCTTTCATCATCTTGGTGGGTTGAGTTCCTGAGTCTCAGTCTACCTTTAAATTGCATTTTAAATGTGCAATAACTAAAGAGGTTGTGCACCTTTCATCGTGCACATGTTTCTACTGTGTTGAATACCTTCTTCAAATTGATTTGGAAGAGTTTATATGTTCGCATTTACAAGCCCTTGTGGAGTATAGGTGGTGCAAATATTTTTGTACTCTGTGACTTACCTTCATCCTTTCAAATGGTGTCTTTTAATGAAATGAAGTTCTTAATTAACACTTGATCCTAGCCAAAAGGCCGAGAAGTGATAAAATTCTTAATATAAAAGTAACCCAATTTCTGGCATGGTAGCCTAGCGGCTAAAGTCCTTGCCTTGCACATGCCAGAATCTCATATGGGCACCGGTTCTAATCAACTCTTTGAATCAATGAACTGAAAAATCCTCCAGTGTGTATCTGACTTTCCAATAAAAATAAATACATCTTTAAAAAAAAATATAACCCAACTTATCAATTCTTTCCCTGTATCCAAATGCTTCTGTGTACTTCTTTGGAAAGATTTTGTCTCACTATGAATCTGTACCTCAAATTCTTAGATATTCTTCTGTGTAATATCCAGAGGCTGTATATTGTCCTTTTGCTTTCTTTTACATTAAAAATCCAGCCGGGGCTGATTTGTGTGTGTGTGTGTTGTAAAAGTGGTCACTAGTCTTTATGTGTTTTTTTTTTTCCAGAAAACATTTAGTGGACTGAGTATGACTTATTAAAGTCTATCTTTTGTACATTTCCATGAAGTGCTGCCTTAGTTAATAATCAGGTGTGCATGGACTAAACTCTAGGCTGTCTGGTCTGTCTCATTTTTAGTTTTCTATTCCCAGGCTAATGTCATGCTGTCTTAATTTGTATGTAGATTTGTAATGGTAGTGTTATATATCCTGAAGAGTAAATCTGTTTTGCTCTTTGCGAGTTTTATGCCATTTGTATTTTCATATAAATTTTAAAATCAGCTTGGTTTTTTTTTTTTTTGCAAAAACTGAAATATTTATTTAAATTGCATTTAGCAGCATAATTTTTTAAAACATTATTTTAAAACTCTTGGTGTTGGTGTTGAAAACAATTCACCTATTTAGGGGATCATTTTCCATACACCATCATATGATCTTGGTGTAGTGATGTTTTATTTTTTTTTATTTCCAATTCTTATATTGCTTGTTTCTTTGTTTTGCCTTATTGCATTGGTGAAAATTTCTGATGTTGAATGGAAATGGTTATGACAGGATCTTTGTCTTGTTTCCCATTTCAGAGGGAAAACCTTTAAGATTTCACCATTAATATGATACTTGCCAAAGGTGTTTTATAGATACCTGAAGAAGATAAAAAATGTGCCCTCAAATCTTACAGGACTTGGTTTACCTGGGCTCTTGCTTCTTGGAAGACCCGCAACACCAATGCTTGTTTCCTTGCCTGTTTGGGTTAGACAGAATTATTCATTGAATTGTTAATAAGAACTACTGTTATATTTACATATGCATTTACCAAGGTTCGTGTTTATTAAGAACTGTTCCATTGACGCAAACCGTTGTTACAACTTTAGCAATGATTCCAAACCTTGTGGGGCTTAAAACCTAAGAAACTGAAAATCAAGTTTCTGTTTTTTCAGCAAATATATTTATAATTAGTACAGTGCTACTTTCAGACTAATGAAAGAATTTTTAATAAGGAAAACACAAAAATGATTTAATGTTTCTCAATTTTCTTTTTGTTAAAAACAAAACAGGTTCAAAAGGTCATCAACGGTACCGCTGATGTATTACCAGATACCTTGCCTGACCTGCCGGTGTCTCTGGTGATCTCATCCTTGATTGTTACTGATATTATTGAAAAACTCAGGGTTTATCCTCTTCGAGGATATCAAAAGAGTAAGTATGCTTCCAATTGCAACTATTTTTTGGAGTTTGATATGCCTTTTCAGATCTCAGTTACTCTGTTGTCTGGTGACTGTGTCACTCTGTTGTCTGTGCTTGTTTCCAAAGTTCTTAGAACATGGATTTTGTAAATAAGTGTTTCTGATGTAAATTTTAAAAAATCATGGTATTGCTTTTGTTCTTAATAAGCATTTCCCATGAACTTTTTGCAGTATCTTTTCATTTAATGACATATTTCTGAGGGCTGACATTACTGATAGATCACTAATGAAGATAACTAATAAGCACAATTCTTTTTATACCTGTTTGGATAGCTAGACAATTATTTTCATTTCTTATTTGCATTTTGGCAGTGCTGATGTGTCAATTAAATTACCAAATATTCTGTATCAAAAAGTTAATGTTTATTCTAGTAGGAAAATTGGCAAAGTAAATTATTGTAGGTTTCTATTTTTCTAGGGACTTCTTATCATTTTTAGTTTGGATGAATACAATTGAGTTTGCATTATGGCTGCGCCGATCCAAAGCTGGGAACCAGGAACCTCTTCCAGGACTCCCACATGGGTGCAGGGTCCCAAGGCTTTGGGCTGTCCTGGACTGCTTTCCCAGGCCACAAGCAGGGAGCTGGATGGGAAATGGGGTTAACAGGATTAGAACCGGCGCCCATATGGGATCCTGGCACTTTCAAGGCGAGGACTTTAGCTGCTAGGCCATGCCGCCGGGCCCCATAGTGGATTTTTAATGTGTGTTTTTTTTTTTTTTTTAATGTGGATTATAAAAAGGTTAAAGATCACACTGATAAAACCAAGATATGTCACATTCCTCTGAAATGAACAGTTTCAGTACTGGCTGGATGTTGAATAGCTTGTTTCCTCAATCATAAATCCCTCCAACTGTCATTAAATTTTATGTGATGGTATTTGTGTTTAATTTGGCTATTTGTTTGCTTCAGCTACTATGTGGCTAATATTTTCATCATGTTGTACGTTTGAAATGGATAAGTTTTGTTGGATGACTTTCTGGTGGAGTGGGTAGAGAAAACACAATGAGTTACAATCAAATTCTCAAGAGGGGCATAATACCTCCTAGAGCCAGTCACCCTCCATGCTTCCAAACACACCTGTTCCCCAAACTAAAAGCAAAACTGAGCTGGAGGGTACACAGATATCTGAATTTCTGAGCTGCTTGTTGTACCTTGCCCTTGGGTGGGACATGATGGACTGCTATATTTAACACAACACAGGTGTCAAGCAGATAAGATGGCTATCCTGCCAGGGGCCATCTGTGAGGGAAGCATGCTTCTGAATCACATCTCCAGAGATAAGTGTGCTCACCTCCAACTGAGAAGGGTTGAAAATCTAAACTCCTGGTTGCATCGTTGGACACCTGGAAGATGCAAGTCTGTCTTGAGATTGCCTGTTTCTTTTTATTTTCATGACCATATAAAGGTTCTATTTTTCAAATCATACTCAAGTTTTTAGGGAATAAGTAAGTCAGCCGATATTATGTTTTTTTTATAGTGATAAGTTGGATTTAATTCTTTTGAGTTATTTAGGTCCATGAGAGACATGGAGAGAGTATTTTCATCTGCTGGTTCACTTCACAAATGCCTAAAAATAACTGGGGCTGGGCTGGGCCAGAGCCAGCAGCTGGGAACTCAGTCCTGGCTTTCCATGCGGATGGCAGGAATCTAATCCCTTTAGCAGTTATTGCTGCCTCTCAGAATCTTCATTAGTCAGGAGCTAGAGTAAGAAAATCAAACCATGAAGTCTTTTTTTCCCTCTTTCCCTTACACTTAATTATTTTTAATTATTTTATTTTTGATAATCTTTACATAGTTATTTAGGGCACAGAGGATCAAGGACTACAGCAAAGTGGGTAAGACCATTGCTTCCACATTCTCTCTCATTCTTTTTTTTTTTTTTTCCTGGATCTGGGGTAATGGGGAGATAAAGGAGAAACTTCATTCAGCCTCCCACCCGTTCCAGGGTCCCTGATGTGGGGCATGCTCTGAGGGTTCTGCTCAAGTGGTTTTGATAGTTCAGTAATTCTGAATTGCTGCCAATCTCGCCATTCCAAGCATGAAGAAATTTCTCCAGAATCCATTGGGTGATATAGTTCACTCTAGAGTCTCCATTTGCCCAGATCTTCACTGCCAACACATGGCTGGGGTAGTTGATCGATTTGTTCTGTCATCCATCTTCTGTTGTGGTACCAGGTGTCCTCTGCAGGTTCTGATGGACTATCATATCCTCCATGTGCACCTGGATATGCTGTCCACTGCTCCATCTGAGCCTCTGAGGAGGCTCAGCTTTGACACATGCACTTCATGGTCAGACCAAGGAACTTACAGTTCTCTTCATGGTTGGGGTTCTGAGATCAGCAGTTCAGTTGGAGGGATCCCCAAAGAAACTTTTTCTGAGGTGATCTCAGACCTAATTCTTGTGTGTGCATGCCAGCACAGGGTCCAGCACAGTCTGTCACCCCAATCAACTTATGTACATGCTGGTCATTGCAATTGCTGGGTCAGTTCTGTTTCCAGATCTATCTTCTACATGAACCAGTGGGTATTGGAGTCCAGCCTGATCCTGCCCACTATACACTCGGCTCTCATACTAACCAGTAGGAACTGCAGCTTAATTGGAGCGACCCACAATAACCCCCACCACATGTGCCCCTGCCCTGGTTCCCATGCTTGCCAGTATGTACGGTAGACTGATCCAGTCTGTACTCCATCCCATTCAGTTTTCATATATATCAATGGGCAACCCAGTTTAGCCTCGCTATCCAGCCCACACACATGCTGGTGGGTGCCACTTTCTGTCTAGCCACACCTGCCCCAGTTCTGGTTTTCATGCTCTCCAGTGGAAGTGGTAACGAAGAGGGAGGTGCCCACTGTTTCCCTACTTGGCCCACTCCCATTCCCGGATCATACAATCTGCAGGTGGTTCTGCAGTTTAACTTGACAAAATTAGCCCCTCGTGCCGGCATCTGCTAGCTGATGTTGCGGCAAAGCCCATCGACCCTCATCCACTGTGATTTATGCTTGCCCCAGTAGGAGCAGTCAGTCCAGCCTGGCTTTTCCTTGTTCTGGCTCACATGAGACTCACAAGTATTGTAGCCCTGCCTGGTCTGGTCTGCCCCTTTTCCAACTCACGCTCTCCAGTGGGAGTGGTAGTCCAGCAGAGGAGCCCTCCACATCAAGTCTTTTTTTCCCTTTTAAGATTTATGAATTTTAATGGAAAGTCAGATTTACAGATAGAAGGAGAGACAGATCTCTCTCCCGTCCTCTGATTTACTCCCCAGGTGGCCACAATGGCTGGAGTTGAGTTGATCCAAAGTCAGGAGCCAGGAAATTCTCCCAGGTTTCCCACGTAAGTGCAGGGTCCCAAGGCTTTGGGCATCCTCTTCTGCTTTCCCATGCTGCAGGAAGGGAAGAGAAGCAGCTGAGATACTAACTGGCACCCGTGTGGGATCCTGCTGCATTCAAGGTGAGGAATTCAGATACTAGGCTGCTAAGCGGAGCCCAGAATGCAAATATCTTAACCAAGTGAATTTTTAAAAGAGAAAGTTTTCTGCATTGATTGGTTGATGACAATCCCAATGAAATTAAGGCTCCAAAGAAGTTAGTCTTGGGGGTAAGACCTTAAAACATCTTGTAAAACTGCTTTGAATTTGAAGAATCTCTTTAAAGACTCTTCACAAATATAGTAAGGTTCATGTCATGCTTAATAGCTCCATTATTTAATAACAATCACATTTTAGGTCTGGTATTGTTGTGTAGTAGATAAAAATGTTGCCTATGATGTCAGCATCAAATAGAGGCCCCAGTTCATATCTGTTGCTCCACTTGATCCAGCTCCCTGGTAATGACCTAGGAATACCAGTGGATAATAGTGTGAGTTCTTGGACCCTTATTTCACATTTGGGAGATGTAGAATAAGTTCTGGGCTCCTAGCTTTGGACAGTGCCATTGTGGCTGTTGTGGCTAGCTAGAGAGTAGACCAGTGGATGGAAGGCCTCTTCCTTTCTCTTTCCTTGTTTTTATCTCACTTTGTAAACTCTGACTTTCAGAAATTAAAAAATACATCTTTAATAAATAATAAAGTAAATGTCACATTAAAAACCTGATATTTCTTTAAAAATGCCTTTAAAACATTTATGATACATGCATTTAATTTTTGGGCAAACTTTGAACTGTGAAATAGCTTTTATGTTTATTTTAATATGCATATTCATAACATTAATTCTGTGAATTTTGAATCTACTGATATTCCCATTTGTTCCTGGAACTTAAACTAATTTATAACTACAATTACCTGTAAGTATCATATATCAGTTTATTCCTAAGCAAGCATGCCATAAATATGGTTCTATTTCTTGTGGTACTTCAGAAGCAAAGAAATATATATAATGCCTGGACTTAAGAATACTCTCACATCATCTTAATTATCCTTAATTCTGAGCTGTAAAACTCTTGGAGTTTTTTCTTTTCCAAATTTATAAGTTATTCGACATGTGAAATATGGCTCTACTAAAAGCAGTCTTCACTGGACCAAGGAATCCTTAGTACAAACTTCCTATTACCAATTCAAACACCTCAGCATCTAGTGGTTACCACACCACAGTTTCTAAGAGTTTTGTCTCACATAGATTGAGCCAAGCATGGGAAGGTTTCTCTGGCACATAGATTTCAGAGTCATGGAATTCTCACAGATATGTATGGTATCTAATAATGTCAATTCCTTGTCAGGGGAACAAAATAACAAGAAGACAATGGACAGTTCCAATGTTCCCCACTCTTACTTCTCTGTGGGTGCAAAAAAAAGGAACTTAACATTTCCCCCTGAATGGTGCTGAATCTGGACTGTTGACTAGCGCATCGTTTCTTTTCTAGTTTCACCTTCATCCTCCCTCGTGGATTATTTGGTGTACTCTTTTCTGCCATTACTGCTAGGCCCCCTGCTCTAAACACTGGGATTTAGTAATAATCA